AACCCAAGGAACCCACTATTTCTGCTGAGGATGCAGCTTTCCTGGATTCAAGGGCTGTGCTGGGGCAGTTTTCAAGGGCTGAGAGAACCAGGCAAGATCAGCACATGCACCTCAGCATCAAACCCACACTCAACATGCTTTCATTACTTTCACCTCGTAAGTTTGCTTAGGCAGCAGAAGAGCTTGGGAAAAGTGCAATTAAAATGAAGAAAAATCACTATCTTGGCCATGTAGTGTGTAATTGCTATTTCTTCAAAGTTATTCACTTCTCTCTATCAGGTCACGGAGTCTGGCAGAAGTTAATCACCATTTCCAGACCAGGCTGTGCAGTCTGACACCTCTGACAGCAATAACGTGAGTGTGCAGCCCTCTAGTGCCCTCTCCCAGCCATGTTCCAGCAGGACCAGTGGCCATGTCCCTGCAGAGCTGCCACAGCTTTCTGCCTCTCTGCCATGAGGAGGACCTGTCACTCCTGACACCACTCCTGACAGGCAGCGAGTCACTGGCTTTGCACCATGAGGCACATGGCACCTTTTTTTTTTTAATTCTAACTTTATGGCTTTAAGTGGCACTCTTCACATGCAGCCCCTGCCCAGGAGCTCTTTTCTCCTGCACCTTCTGCTGTTCTTGCTCCATCCAACCACAAACCTTCCCTCAGCATGCAGGGCTGATACACCTGCACTTGTATTGAAGGGTAATAGCCCCAACAGCCCACAATTTTTTTCTGATTCCTCTAATTTACCCACAACTGCTGAACATTTCTCCTTTGCCTGGGGCATCAGCTCTGTCTTGGGATGCAAAGAAGCTCAGGCTCCCTCAGGGTCTCTGCTCCAGCTTCACAGCACAACACCCTGTCCATGATCCAGCCCCTGCTGTCCTCTCTGGCAGGTGTAACCTCCTTAACTACAAAGGGACCCAAAGGTGGGTCAGCAGCCAAGAGAGCATCAGGGCTGCATCCCCTGGGCAAGGTCAGCCCTTTGTGACCCCCTCAGAACGTACAGCAGCTGTTACCACCCCTGCCTAAGGGCCCAGCTGGCTTTTGGGGGTCTTCTCCCCTTATAGCTCCACTTACCTCCAGTTTCTGCTCCTGGTGACTTTCTGGAGACCCCAGAACACATTCCTGGGAGGCTCCCTGCTTTCCCTGGATCCACATCATAGATCCAGCAGCAAGCTGCTGGCTTTGCCTGCCATGACCTTTATTTGCTGGACACAGGTGCCTGCAGTCTCCCCTTCCCATCTTCCACTGGTGGAACCTAATGAGGCCCAGATCTCATCCCAAATGCTTTCCAGGTGCTAAATTAAACCAGTGTCATCCTAGTGTCACCCTCCTCTTCTGCTGCAGCCCTGGGGGCACAGCACACAGGTCTCAGCACTGGGCAGCTTGGTTTAAGGCCACATCTGTGAGGAGAGTGGTTGCTCTGGCTGCTGCAGCTGGAAGGTAACACAGCTCTTTGTGGACACAAAACCTCTTCTCATCTGTCATTTATTGCAGATGGAAGTAACCTTTTCTCATGCACTGTGCTGAGATGCTTAGGGCTCAGTTTAGCTGCCTGAGCTCTGTCTAGTACCAGGGCACCTGAGACAGCCCCTGGGGCTGGCAGAGGCATCACAGGACCCCAGCAGACCCATGCCCTTCTGGAGGCCAGGTGGAGCACCCCCGGCCATCTCCAAAGGCTCTGTGCCCCTGTGCTGGGGCAGCTGTAGCAGCCCAGTCCTTACTATAGCAAACCCATATCCAGACCGATCTTCTCCTCCTGCCATGTCTAGGGAAAAACATTTATTTCCAAGTGTTACCTCTCTTCCTGGTCAGCCAGGACATCTGCCTGGCAAACAGCGCTTCGGGTGCTGCCCTGGGCTGGCCTGTGAGGAGCAGAGCCCTGCTGCTGCCGGCTGCGATGGGTTTAGCCACCCATGCCTGATGGGCTGAGGTAGAAACAGGTGCCCTGTCCCAAGCCACAGACCCCTCCAAGCAATGCCAGCCCTCACACCCATCCCCTGCCCGCCCGGGCTGCTGAGCCAGGTCTGATCCCTGTCAGGTGTTCTCCAGGCAGCTTTCAGTTGCCCGGAAAGCTTAAAAAGGCCCAAGTTGTGTTTTCCTTCCCTACA